ATCTATCTATCTATCTATCTATCTATCTATCTATCTATCTATCTATCTATCTATCTATCTATCTTATATAGAGTTTCTCATGTATTTGTTTATTTTTTATATGACTTACTGTATGTAGCTGCCCATCTCACACAAGTGACTCTGGGTGACTTACAAGGATTAAAAATCAGAAACCCACAACACATAATCCTCAGCACCATGATAAACAATAACCCCACTCACAGACAAAAAGCACATCAACAACAGCACAGCTCATCTATCCACCTGACCCAAATGCTTAGGGAAATAGATTTTCAATGCCTTGTGAAAAGCTATAGAGCTGCGGCCATTCGGATCTCTGGGGGATTGCCATTCTATAGGGTAGGTGCTGCCACTGAGAAGACACCACTCTGGGATCCAAGAAGATGGCATTGTTTAGTAGAAGGAGCCCAGAGCATGCCCTTGTACTAGGTCTGGTGGGACAAGCAAAAACAATGGGAGAAAGGTGGTCTTGCAGATAGCCTGGCCCTGCGCCATGAAGGGCTTTATAGGTGTTGACCAGTACTTTGAATTGCACCCAGAAGCCTATTGGGAGCCAACACAGCTCGCAAAGCAGCAGTGTTATATGGGCATAACAAGAAATGCCAAACTGCTTATGCCACTGCACTTTGGACTGGCTGCATCTTCAGAGTGCTCTTCAAGGGGAGCCCCATGTAGAACACATTACAGTAATCCAAACGAGAGATGACTAAGGCATGAATCACCATGATATCTGAAAGATTCCCATAGCTGTGCTTAAGGGGAAAAAAATCAAGTTTTTTTTTAAATTTAACCAAATGTTATGCAAACCTTTTGATACTTTTAAAAAATCTGATGAGCAAATAAAATGGTAATTAACTGATATACATAATCTAAGAATAAATTATATTTTTAACTCTGTAATTGTTAAACCTTCTCATAATAGAATAGTAAAACAGGTCAACGTTATTGTAGATGTTTTGACCCAGATAAAGATTTGGTAGACTTATTTAATATGATTTAGATGATGATGGAGAAGATGATTGGAGGCGTTGTTTCAAGTTACACATTTTAACATTGTATGCTACCACAAAGCTTTTTAACCAATATTGATTTGATTGATTATGCGCCATCAAGTCATTTTCAACTCCTAGCAACCACATAGATTTTCTCCATGATGATCTATCCCTAACCTGTTCCTTCAAGTCTCCCAACAATGCACTCTTCACCTCTGTAACTGAGTCCATCCGTCTTACTGCTGGTCATCCTCCTCTTCTCTTTCCTTCCATCTTTCCCAGCATTAGAGCCTTCTCCAGAGAGCTGAGTCTTTGCAAAGTAGAATAATTTGAGCCTGGTCATTTGTGCTTCAAGTAAGAACTCTGGGTTGATTTGTCGATGATCCATCAGTTTATTTTCTTGGCTGTCCACAATATTCTCAGAAATCTTCTCCAGTACCAAAGTTCAGAGCAGCCAATACTCTTCACACACACACACACACACACACACACACACACACACTATGTGCACGTGTATGTATGTGTGTGTGTAGAGGGGGGGGCTAAAATTGGCTTGTATTGTTAAGATATTGAATATTTAATTCAAGAAAATGTTTTGCACTAGCTTTGTATGTATTTGTTCTGTTTATCTTGCTTTTGTCAAAAATCTCTCAAGCAGCTTTCATAAAGGGAAGGAATGGAGGACAAAGAAATCACCCTGCCACTAGGCCAGAAGGAACTTCCCTAACAGATGCCTTGTTTTAAGAAAAATGCTGGTAACCATCCAGCAGATGTTTTTCTTCTGCTCTGCAGTTCTGAGCAACTGGCAGCTAGACCTGAATGTTTTCAGGAATAAGGGAAACAAGCTCTTGAAGCTACTCAGCCTTTGATAAGTAGCCAGTTTACCCCTTGTGATGTGAAGCCAGGAAGCACAGTCTTCCGGGCTGCAGGTATTTCGTTTTCCTCCACTTTCAGAGATTTGATCTGAATCTGAACCAGAGGTCTTTTCTCGGGAGAGTTAGTATGCCCATGAATACTATTTTCTCATACTATATGATTATGATTAGTGACATAACTCTAAGAAATCGTGCTTAGGCTGTTTTTGTCCTTTCGTGTTCCCACAGGTGGCTTTTACGGTCCTCTTTGATCTGGAAGCTCTCCTGAAGATCTGGTGCCTGGGATTTACCGGATACATCAGTTCATCTCTTCATAAATTTGAACTGCTGCTGGTCATTGGAACTACTCTCCACATTTATCCGGTCCTCTACCATTCACAGTTTACATACTTTCAGGTAGTGTGCTAATTTCCACTTCAGTATACCAGGGGAAAACATGATTTGGAATCACTCCAAAAAGTGTCTAAATATTATTCATGTTTATTAATTTATTTTGTTGCTATCATTGTTTTCATTTTCAGTGTGATGCTCACCTGTCAAGTAGGTATTAATTTCTTACTGAATTATCATAGTTGTTGTGGCTATCTGTCTTTCTGGAATTGAATCCAAAGCACTGCAAAATTTATATGTCACCGTTCAATTTCAGATAGCTTTTACGATAGCTAACCCCTCCCAAAATCACCAAGATAAAATACAAAAATATAATTGAACCTAAAAACCAATAGTTAAAATCATTAAATAAAATTTAAAAGGAAACTGCTTTTACTTTTTCAAATCAAACCAGAAAATCAACTGAGAAGCCAAAAGTCTGCTCTGAATAGAATAATTAATATAATATGAAAGGCTTGGCAAAGAATTCTAAATCTGGGGAGAAATCATCAAGTACATCCCATTGAAATCAGTAAGACTGACAGCCTAATAAGGTTGCATCACACCAAGCTGATATGCAATCTGTTTAAATCAGATGTTATGGCAAATAATAAATTGTGGTGCAGCTCAAATTAGACATTATGGGAAATGTGTAGCTGTCACTTAAAATAGTAGCCCATGATTACTCTCTATTTCTCCCCTAAATATGCTGTAGATATTTAAAGTATGTGCCACGGTGTCAGTGTTTTCTGAGTTTAATTGGGCTGCATAAGAAAGTACGCAAAACAGAGTGAGTTTAGGGCAGGAGCGGCAAACTTGTGCCCTCCAAGTTCAAAACTTCTATAAACTACTAACATCTATGCATGTACCAACTGGGTTAGTAAATTCATAGTGCAGAGATTTCTCTTCTTGCAGTTCAGTTTACTAGCTATTACGAAGGAATAAAGCACAAGAGATTGCACTATTTAGTTTAGACAGACCCTTGGCATGCTAAGACAGTTGAATCCTATATTGCCCACCCATCTCTATGAAGACAGGAGGAGTAAAATGGTAATCCTAAATCAAAATTTTTAAATTTACTAGGTAAAGAGCAGGAATAGGGAATCCAGATTTTGCTAAAGTCCAACTCCCAGCATTAGTTGCCATTGGCCATGCAAGGGCTGGCCTGGAGCTGCATAAGGAATCTGGTGGAAGGGCCACAGTCTAGACCAGTGTTTCTCACCCTTGGCAACTTTAAGATGCGTGGACTTCAACCCCCAGAATCCCCCAGCCAGCATGGCTGGCTGGGGAATTC